TTCCTACCTATTTACAAAAAGAAATTTAGAAAGACACAGCAGAAGGTGAATAAGAAAGAAAAAGAAAAAGTGAAATTATTAATCACCACCTTACCTTCCAAAGCTAACATTAGACATAATTACCCACCAGAAATTAATCTCATGAGGGAATAATGTAAGTATATGGGTGTCTTAGGCTTTTCTCTGTATAATTTCTTCTCCCCTACCAAACACAAATCTCTAGGGAAAATTCTGGGTGCGCATTTCTTCCTTTCTCCTTTATTCTTTCTAATTCCTGGGTAGTTCTATGCCAACTGAGGTATTCAGGTGAGGAAAATCCGAGGAAGTAAAAAAGGGGATTTGCATTGAACAGGGCAAAGTTTTCCTTGTCTTAGAAGGAAACAAAAAGGACAGAGTCCAAAGTGGAGTATATGAATGGGAAGCTGAAGAGAGAAAAGACAGAAAAAGTGATGAGCCGCATGGCTGACTGTCAGAGTAAACTGTGTGGGGAATTAAATCGTAAGGGTGCAAATAGATTTGAGGAAGCTTCCAGAGGGGGAGAACTCCTGAGGATGAAATCTCTTCAATGTTCTTTCAAGTTCTATAAAACATACTAGTAGAAATTTGAATTAGTTTACGTTCCTTTTGTTTGGTGAATTGTGTTTCTTTGCAACACAAGCCTGGGACATAAGAAGCCCTTGATTTATTGAGGTGACATTAATTTCACAGCAGGTGTCATTAATATTGTGTTTATGGGAGAAGTTTAGATTGCTTATAAAGCCTCATAATTATATGCAATGTTGTGTTTATATGTACTTGCATATTTTGAAGTTATGACAATTTTCATGTTTATAGCTTTTATCAGATTCATAAAGAGTTCATGATTCTTTTTCTTCAAAAATATGAAAAGACTGCCATTGGGGAGAAAGTACAGGCTCAGGGCAAAAGATCACATGAGGAAATGTAACTATAGAAGATAACTGAGGTCTAATTCTATTACTAGCTTAATATGCTAGTCCAACTCTATTTATTTGGACAAAGGTACAAATATATTCATTTGCTACCTCCCTCTCCTCTTTCTTATCCCCCTATTTCTCCTCCTGTTCTCATTATTTTTTTAAACCTTTGTTTATTAGTTTCTCTTAAGCATATGGTTATCTCAGAATTTCCTTTTTAAAAAATATATTTTTATTGATTTCAGAGAGGAAGGTAGAGGGATAGAGAGATAGAAACATTAATGAAAGAGAATAATTAATTGACTGCCTCTTGCACGCCCCTACTTGGGGGGGAGGGAGGATTGAGCCTGCAACCCACATGTGCCCTTGGCCAGAATCAAACCTGGGATCCTTCAGTCCTCAGGCCAATGCTTTATTTACTGAGAAAAATCAACTAGGGCTCTCCTTATTATTTAAAAATACATTTGGTGATTAAAAAATAATAATCCATTTGTGTGCAAATAAAATGAAGAAAAGAGCCCCCGATGAATTAAAATTTCAAGCAAATCAGACATATCCTATAGTTTGAGAGAGCATCATGATAGAACCTGAAACAGAGAAGAGCACAGCAAGTAGTAGTGGTGAGAGTATTAAGATTAGCAAATTGATTACATGTCCCCATCAAGGTATATGCAAAGGTGTCTTCAGTTATTACTCTTCTGATGAAAGGACGAATATATCATACTAGTTACAGACACCCTAATTCAATGTTTCACAGCCAAGGTAGCAAGCTATATTAGCCGGATAAACATTTAAATTATGGAGGGCAAATAGATGCAAAGGGGAGGAACCAAGAACCGGGAAGATCTGCCATCGCTTCGCTAAGTTTGTTTGCACCACCTACTCAAGTGTTTTATTCAAACCCCAAATGGGAGGCACAGAGCAGCTCCCAACTCTTTCAAACACGCCTTCTTTCCTCATCTGCCTTTTTCCTCCTTGATGAGCAGCACCCACAAAAATGCAGTTATCTTACTCAAGGCAAAACCATTTCATTTAGTGTCTTAGGAGAGGCCTTCAGCAGCCCTCTAGGGTTCTATGAGCAGAGTACTAGCCATGTCTCAGGCATTCATTACATGCTTATTTAATAAATGAGTAACCGAATGATAAAAACCTTTCACCTTCCTGCTGCCAATGTGGTGTGTGATTTTAGAGGCGACCCTGGGAGAGCAACATGGAAAAACAAGACATTATCTCCCCCACCCCACACAACACTCCCGTCTTTGTTAAACAGCACTCAATTCCTTTGAGTGCCTTGAGACCAAAGGCCTGATGCTCATAGGGTAATGGGGAGAGTAGCTTAGAGTATCCAGGTGAGCCCAATGTGGGAAAGTAGCCTGGGTTATCCAGGTGAGCCCAGTGTGATCACAAGGGTCCTTCAAGAACATGTGAGGCAGGAGAACAGGTCAGAGTGAAAAGGACTTGACCCACTTTGCAGGCTCTGAAGATGGTGGAAGGGGCCTCGTGCCGACTGGGGGCAGCTGCTAGAAAATGTAAAAGACAAGAACATGGATTCTCTCCAAAAGCTGCACCAGAAGAAACACAGCTCTGCCAACACCTTGAATTTAGTGAGACCCTCCTTGAACTTCAGAACGCCAGAACTGTAAGATCATACATTTATGTTGTTTTAAGCTATGGGATTTGTGGTGCTAGGAAACGGGGTCAGTGCAGAGGAAACAGAGAGTCAGTGAGACAAAGTGAAGGACTTGAGAGACAAATGGGTGGGTTTTGTCATTACTAGCCAATGGACTTATGGAGATTTTGTTCATGTCTCCCAGGCTTTGTTTCTCTCAGGGGTGTAGTGGTTAAAACTAGCAATCTCTAAGGCTTCTCTGATTCTCTAAATGAGAACACATCTTAGAAATGCCCAGCTCCAGGACTGCCACACTTGTGGGTGCTCTTCACTGCTTCTAACCAACCCAGTAGATTAGGGATCACAAAGAAAAAGGGAAAACTAAAATAAATTTAGATAAAAAGTTAAGGCTGAGGGGTGTAGATACGAGGGGTAAACCACCACTGCTTGAAGCATGGGACAGCAGTTCTGTGGTCTGTCGAGGACTTCATAAAATGAGGGTTTCAAAGTCAGAGAGAGAGAGGAAAACAAGAGGTGGAGTGTGAAAAATAGGGGGAGATTTGTGTAGAGCAGGACAGGGGGTGGAGAAAAAGGAAGGGAACACATGCTGCAAAAAATATGGGTGGAATTTCCCCTACAAGGGTACGATACCATTAATTAGAAATAGGAAAAAGGTCAAAATCAGTTGTTTGTTTCTCTCTCTTTTTTGTGTGTCATTGTTCCTTTCCTTCAGTTTAAACACTATATTAGGCCATATCCATAACCAAACATTGATGAATTATCAAAGGTAGATCATGTGTTCTGGATGGCAAGGGAGGAGGGGTGCACGCATTCATGTTACATTTCAAAGGCTAAGATGGACCTTTTAAAGGCGTTGAAGAAATGTTCTCTTGGAAGTAATAATAGAAAACTAACTAGTTAAATGCTATTAAGTTTCTGAGCCTGTCATTATTTCTTTTTCTAAGATGATGTAGAGATTCTATCTATCTATCATCTATCTAGCTCTCACCTATCTAGCTATCATCTCACAATGAAGGTAAGATCTCTGCCATCAGTGACAATGCTATGTTCTATAGAATGCTGCTCAAGGTAATAGGGAAGTATATGAAAAAGTATATGAATGGTGGAAAATGCAAACTTCTAAGGTTGAATGACAACTTATTCCCTTTCAAGCTTTGCAGCAATGTAGATTTAATGACTACAGAGCTGTAAATATACTGGAATAATTTCAAGAGAGAACATCCAAATTGTAATAGAAAGCATTTCTAGGGTTTGGATGTACTTTATGTTCAAACACTGTTTTATTACATTTTGTGATATTGCACAACTTTGAATAGGCCATTTTGTGGTAAGGTCCAATCTATTTCTACAACATTTTAAACTTTAAGAAATGAGTAGATTTTAACCCATATTTTTGGCTCATAAATAAATTATTTAAAGAAAATCACAGGAAGAAACTCACAGACCATTGTTCCTTTAAAGGATGTTTATAAATCGCAAAGTGACTTGTTGTATACTGTGTCTAGCTGTGTACTAGGTTCCCTGTATCATTGAACTTGGGAATGTGGGTAAACACATATTCCTGCAGCAATTTTAGGAAGTCATTTACAATTTCCCATTTCCTTTCATTTTGGAAAACCCTTTACCATACACAAAATCTGCTGCATATCTTACAACACCACTCTTTCTAAAGGCTTACTTACGGCTGAGATGACCGATAGTGTTGATAAATCAGTTCATCCATAGGCCCAGAAACTTTAGAAAAAAAAAAAGACAACTCACTGTGTCTTTCCCCTTCCTGCCCTTTGCTCCACTGTCTCTGAATAACTTCGCAACAGAGTTTACAGATCAAAAGGCTTTTTCTAGGAATACTCACAAACTTCCCCTGAAATATGCAGCGACTTTCAGAAAAGTCAACATTTACTTAGCGTTACAGAGCTTTAAGTTTGAGCTAGTCCTGAGATCAGCAGGTTTATCTGACCCTGAAAACCAGCCTAACTGGCCGATCTGTGCAGGCATTCATCTTTCTCCCGCAAAGAGCTCTGCTGGCAGCAGTCAAAACCAAAGTGGGAACTTAATAAAAATGAAAACTGTGGTAGCAAAATACACTTAATGAGGTTAATTTGATGTATTGCAAAAATTTGGGAGGTTACAGTGGTTTCTATATAACCACAGCACTGATTTAGGAAAACCCCAGGGAAACAGCTGCATTTGGATATGTAACTTGCCTTGCTTGCATAGGAAAGCCAAGATTTTTAGGGTGTATGTCTTGAGATGCTAAAATGTGCACATTAGATTGGGGCAAATTGTATGCATTTCTTAATTGAGAAATAACAGGATAATAAAACCTGCAGACGTTTATGCTTACATGTTAGGCAAAAAGATCAGAAAGAGCCAAGTCAGTTTTGCTGAGCTGTTAAGAAAATCGTGCTCCTACTACTGGGTTCCGTGATTACCTGTGAATGTCTCCATTTCTGGCATTTGGTAGCGACTGGCTGCGGCAAACCTGGCAAAATGTTTTCCAGCTGCTGGAAAATTAACTCTTCCACCTCCTCAACGTCACGTTCCAAGTGTGTAACTCCAAAGGAGACAGTGGTGTGAATCACAAGGGAAGGCCCAATTTCTGATGACACTAGAGTAAGATGAACATAAGGATACACCTTAGGGTGGGTTACGTGGAAGTATCTCTCAGCCTTTCAATGTCTCAGACTTAAGAATTGATCATAATAGTCAGACAATAAATGGAGGGGAAATACACTCTAATCTTTGGAGCATAAAACCAGGCTATTTCTGAAATCCAAAATTAGTTTTCTCTGAAGAGAAGAAAAAAATCGTGATGTACTTTAGAAATTACGTTTTAGGTCATGCTAAAGAATGGGAAGGAAGGGCACCTACTATGTACTTCTCTGGGTAAAATTAAAATTACTGGTATGTTCATCTTCTCTCATCCACTAAATTATAAACTCTTTACCATTTCTTACATATATCCTATACTCTCCTTAAATTCTAAGAACAAAATAGATGTTCAAAAAATACTTATTCTGCCAAACTGCTTTGGCTCAGTGGATAGAGCATTGGCCTGAGAATTGAAGGGTCCCAGGTTCAATTTCGGTCAAGGGCATGTACCTTGGTTGCAGGAATATCCCCAGTGGGGAGGGGTGTGTGTGTACAAGAGGCAGCTGACAGATGATTCTCTCTCATCAACATTTTTAACTCTTTATTCCTCTCTCTTCCACTCTGTAAAAAATTAATCAAATATATTTTTAAAAATACTTATTCTTTTTTTTTTATAAAAAGGATTTCAAAGTGTTTTGTTGATATTACTAAATGCTAGAGGAAAATATCATTACCACTTTCAAAAATAATCGGGCTTTTCTCTAAAAATAGACTTTATAATATTCTCCTTTATCTTTTAAGTAACATTAAACATAAAAGTCTGCCTCATTTATAACATGGAGCTACTTTCCACTTTTGTTTGCCATTGCAATTTTGTGTGCTATATTTCACAGTTACAAATAATGAGTATCTGCGTTGTATCTTTCACTCATTAGTAGAAAAAAAAAAAACACACAAATAAAGTTCGAAGTTGAAAGCAAAGTGACTGAGGCATTTAGAAAATACAGACTTGGAAGGAATGTTAGCAATAGTCTGCCTGCTAGTCTTTTTTTTTTTTTTTAATATATTTTATTGATTTTTTTACAGAGAGGACAGAAGAAGGATAGAGAGCCAGAAACATTGATGTGACGCTCTATCCATTGAGGCAAACCGGTTTCGGTTGCCTACTATTCTTATTTGTTTAAATCAAGCCCAGGAGAAAGTTGATTGGAAACAATAATAGATCTGAAATGCATGAGATGATAATATATAGTTGGTGCTCCCCTTCAACCCCCCTGAGAGAAGAGAATATTAAAACTTTTAAGGAAATGACAGGAGTTGTCAAGCCTGATTCTGAAAATTCTTTAATTTGGGATTCTAAAGACAATGATCTATGTAAGGTAGGTTTCTACAATTTTAAACAGAAAAAAAAGTTGTGCAACATAAGCCACTATTGTTATGTGCCCACTTAACCTCTTTACACTTCAGGGATTTGTACTGTTTTATATAAAATCAGCATGTTAGGGGTATGGTGTGGATTAAATATATAAGGCATGTGATGTGCTCAGCAGCTTTTAGCACAGAGTAGGTGCTTCATAAATGTAAGCTATGGGAATAGAAACAATAAATCAGATACACACAAGGGGAAAGGTCCTATGGTATTGCCCAAGTGATGGGTGTGAGCTATTTTTTTGTAAGAGTACTTCATTTTTCCATTGCTCAGAGAATCCTGAATTATTAATTTTACCCCCCCCTCCCCCAAACATGAGGAAAGCCCTAACCAATTTGGCTTGGTGGATAGAGCATTGACCTGCAGACTGAAGGGTTCCAGATTCAATTATGGTCTTGGGCACATCCCTATTGGGAGGTGTGGAGGCAGCTGATCAATGTTTCTCTCTCATCAATGTTTCTAACTCTCTATCCTTCTTCCTTCCTCTCTAAAAATTTTTTAAAAATCAATAAAATATATATTTAAAAAACAAAAAAACAAACAAACATGAGGGAAGACCATCCTAAAATACTGTAAGCATTTTAACAAATAAAGTGAGTGCTTTTACATATGTCTGGAGAAGACTGGACTTCAGAAGATAGGCAGTGAATGCAAAGGTGAGGAGATTGTCCACTGTTTTCACCTCACAGTATTTGGAATGACTTGAAAAGGAAATTTGAGGGAAGCATCTCTTTGAATGGTCAAGGTTTAACCTATCAGTGTATGGGTACCACACAGACGGGGAAGGACCAAGGAGTGCAAAGTCTCACATTCTTTCACCCAATCCCACTACAGTGAAACCTATTGCATATTGCCACAGGGAGTGCTTTGTTATCAGTAATAAATTCAGGGAGGCCCATTCACAGCAAGGGGTTGTCAATGCCACCATTCTTCCACCAGGTAACACATCTTCCCAGAGACTGGGAAAGCTATTGGCTCAGCATTCTGAGGTGACTTTCTATGGCAGGTTTGAGGAAAATGAATGCCAGCTGCGTGCTCAAAACCAAGAGGTTACACTCACCCAGCCATTTGTACTAGGGGAAGCTGGTAAAATTACGAAGGGGGTGATGTGCATTGTTGCCAGGGTTCTCTCATTTACATTAGTCATGCACTCCAAGGAAAGCAATAAAAAGGAGATTTAAGACCCAAAATGAAACAGTCTTTTCATAACAATGAGACACAGTTTTTTGAAAACTGAGATTAAAATTTGAAGAGCCACAATCTAAAACAGTACATTTTAAGGAAAAGCTTCCTCCTGTCCACCCCTTCCCCCACTTTCCCCACTCCAAGTTAGAGCATTTTTAGAAGCAAATATTAAAAAATGCAAACATCCAACCAGAGTTTAAACATAACCAAGGTTTGCAAATAGAGCATTATAAAAAGCCACAAATATGTTAATAGGATTCAGAGCGTAAATTCAGTGTAATCTTTGCTCCTTGGTCACTGAGAAGGTAATGATGTTATCTTCTTCCTTTCTTTATTCAGTTTAACAAGCATTGCACTTTGCTTTTGGCATTTTAAATGTAAAGTTCATAGTAAGTTGACAACTATTTCCGTATGTTGGGAGATCAATGGCTTTAGTCTGTAGATATTTGGACCCTTGCATTCTTAACAGCTCCATGGTCTTAGGCAATTTAATCTCTCAGGCTTTGCTTTCTTCCACGAATTAAAATGGAGTATTATAATTTACCCTATAAGGTTGTCATGAGGATTAAATGGGTTAGGACACATAAAAGCCTTTCTTCAAATATAAAGTGCTACACAAATGTGAGACATTTGTAGATAATACTCTTTTCTTTTCTTTTTTTTTTTTTTTTTTTCAATCTCTATGCTGCGGTTAGAGCAGTTTTAGAAAGGGTTAACAGAGTTGACTCCTCTCAAAGTATTAAGATTGATTATTCTATCAACACCCGAGGAACAGTGGCAAACTATTCTTGGGGTGTTGGCACAGAAGATTCTTTTCGTTTTTGTTGTGTGTGTGTTTTTTTGTTTTGTTTACTTGTGGTAAAATAAACATCACATGAAATTTGCCATTTTAAACTATTTTAAGTTTATAGTTCTCTGGCATTAAGTACATTCACATTGTTCTGCAACCATCACCACCATCCATATCCAGAATGTTATCTTCCCAAACTAATAGTCTTTACCCATTAAACACTAATGCTTCCCTCTTTACCCATTAAACACTCTCACGCTTCCCTTCTTCACCCAGCCCCAGCCACCACCATTCTATTTCTCTATGAGTGTGACTATTCTAGATCCCTCATGGAAGTGGAATCATACAATATTTTTCCTTTTGTGACTGGCTCATTTCGCTTAACATATCTTCAAGGTTCATCATTTTTGTTGCATGTGCCAAATTCCTTTTAAGACTGTATGATATTCCATTGTGTGTGTGTGTGTGTGTGTGTGTGTGTGTGTGTATCAATCACATCTTGTTTATGCATTCATCCATAGAAGTAATTTCTGTTGCTTTGACCTTCTGGCTATACTGCATAATGCAACTATGAACATGGATGTACAAATATCTGAGTCCCTGCTTTCACTTCTTTTAGGTATATACCCAGAAGTGGGACTGCTGAGTCATATGGTCATTTTATGCTGCCTTTTTCGAGTCTCAGGTTTTTCTTGCTTCTTTGGCTCAGTCTCCATTTGATTTGATTAAGTAGAGTTGCTTAGTTAAAGATGAATATTATCATGTTGGGTTAAGAAAATAGTATCTAACTCTATGCTGTTTACAATAAAATACATTTTTAAAACAAATCCTAACTCAATTATATGAAGTCAGAGAATGTGATTTGAATGCTACTTTAAGATTTGTTAACTGGCTTCATACATAGTTTACAAAAGTATTATATGTGTGCTTGAATATTATTTTTTAGATGTTGAATTAACATTTTAAATTCATTGAATCTTATTAATTGTGTAGTTCTAAATCAACTAAAGTCTTATGATTTTTCTGTGTGCTTGATTGCTAAAAATTTTTGCTTTATATTGAAACTATATTACTAGTTTCCTGCTATTTCCTGATACCTTTTAATGATATATTATGAATATCTTTCATTTAGAAATGCCTTTGACCTTAAAGTTTATTTTTTTTGCTTCCTATTTGTTCCCCTTTTTAAAAATTTTGTTTCTCTGTAAAATTTTGCCTTCTTTTTTATTAAACTACTTTTACTCATTTCTTCCTCTTTACTTAAAAAACATTTTAACTCTGATTTTATTATATATGCTTTTGTTGTTCAGGATTTACTTTTTTAGTTTTGTTTTAATACAGTCAATATTTGTTTATATTTCTCCACAGCTTCCTTTGTGGATTTCACATCTTCTCTCCAGGGGCATTTTCCTTTTCCCAAAGTATCTTCTTTTGAAGTTCTTAATGAGGTTCCTTTGAAGGTCAACTCTCTCAGTTTTTGTTTTTCTAAAAATATCTTTATTTAATCCTTATTTGTGAAAGACAGTTATCCTTGGTATATAATAATAGATTGAAAATATTTTCTCTCAGCATTTGAAAGAACTTATTCCAATGTAGGTTAGCTTTTAGTGAT